TTCAATAAGCAATCCTGAAAAATATTTGGGGGTGCTTAACTTTTTTCCAGGTGTATATATTTAGGAAGTTGATAAACTTTTTTATGCAATAAGCAGAAGGATATCACAAAATCAATATGGTCTATTACTAAGAGAATCCATGAGATAAGATACTTTAATAATGTGAAAAATATTTAAAATAATTTATATTGAAGGTGTTTTGAAGAATTGTTTGGTAGAAAATTAGTAGTTTTAAACACTATTGAAATTAATTGCTACTTTACATCATTTTGACTATGTTTGATTCTATTTCCTTTTTTAAGGTGCTCGACTCGCAATCCCCGTCACACCAAACATGCTCACCCTTTCAGCCATGTTGGCATTATAATGTGACGGTCAATCCCACTATTCATTGGTAAAAGAGTTGGAAGTGAGTGGTGATGACTAGCTGCCTTCCCTCTAGTCTTACACTGCTAAATTAGGGACAGCTAGCTCAGATAGCCCTCGTGTAGCTTTGTGCAAAATTCAAAACAAACAAAATCTTACTTTCATGCTATGAAGACAAACGATGAGTTGGTGTGTAGCAGAGTAAATAGGGAGCAGGTTAACTTACTTTGATACGTGTAGACAAACAATGAGTCAGTTGTTATTTGGTGTGTAATATAATGACTAAAGAGCAGGCTAACTTACTTTGATGCTGTGAAGACAAATGAGGAGTTGGTCGTTATGGCATTAATGGGTGCATTGTGAGCCTTTAATTCAGTTACTAACTGGCACCTGTCTGCAGACCACAGTTTAATAAATCCACCACGACAACAACTGAGCAGTGTGTTGCTGTTTGGCAAAAAGCTCAGCCCACATACCCAATCTTTGTGGGCTTGGTTCAGTGACTATAAGAAAAAAATACACATATTTAATAGAAATTAAACATTTTTTAATACTGGCCAAAAAGAACAACATTTTAATACCTCATAATATAAAGCTGAAAATAGTTTTTAAAAATGGTTACATGTACTAAAAGGAAAAAGAACATTTTGGTCAAACAACCTTCATCAGGTCCCAATAAATATTGTAATGTTGATCCCTGAATTATTTTCAACCACTTCTTTGTACTTTCAGATTTTATCTATGACGTACAACACAGAACACTTGATTTAGCCTGTACAAAATGCAAAATATTCAATTAATGAATGCCATGCTACTTAGCTACATGTAAAACTTGGTGAGCTTGCAGAGAGCAATTACTGTAGCTTTGTCTCAAAAAAGATACAACTAGTATGGGTAGTGCTTAAGAATTTCTGCTTTAATATTTAGATTTTATTAAAATCAGATGAAGCCTTTAAAAAATTAATGGTGAAATCAACTGTTTCTCTGAATGGAAAGTTTGTTAGAAAAGAGGGGTAACATCTGACAAAGCACAATTCTATCACCACTTTCAATGCTCTTGCAGAAACTTCTTGTTGTTAGTGGTATAAATAGCTTTTGTTTCAAAAATGATTTTCAATCTATCTATCTAAAAAGTATAGAAGAAATATTCATTAGTCTATCTACAACCATTTTACTTCATATATAAGACAACAAAGGATGTTTTATGTTTACCTGGACCAAACACTGGTTACTAAGATCCCATTTCTTGATGCACATGTCCCGAGAACCAGAAAACAAGTATTTTCCGTGAACAGCAAGGGACTGGATTCCGTCATAGTGGGGAGGTTCTAGATTAAGTTTAGGGGTCAGGACTCCACTGGCACCATCTATGACCTCAAACACCTGTACACAATGAAAACCATTTCAAGAGAGATGTTCCGAGTTCATTTAAAATTAGACACAAAATTTTCAAAGGTGCACAAGAGTAAACACTTTAGAACTGAATGCTTTGTCAAGTTAATAATTTGTACAATTTTAACAATAAAATATTAGTTTTATAATTCCCATCTATGTCATTTAAAGACATGTTTTATTGGTTTTTACACACAATAAGTAGCAGAACTTTGAGAGAATTATAATAGCTTGTTCTGGTCAAATTTCATTTTAAGTTGAAATCTGAAATTCACTAAACCATTAATTAACACCAATCTGCACGTTTTCTGATAAAAAAAACAGAACTAACAAACTGGTGAAAGATAAAAAAATAAGATTTGGAGACATGTAATTAACATGATGTAGAAAAGCTAGTACGATTAATTCTTACTTCAATTAAGTCGTATCCAATGCCCTTATACTGCATTCCATCATTCTGTTAGCTAATTTCAATTAAGATTATGAGAACTTCAATTTTCCAGTGCTTAAAACAAAAAATGTCCAACTCATATTCTAAGAAAACTCAAGTCCTAATAAGTAAATTTGACACAAACTGAACACCATCAATGAAATAGTTTTTTCTATACTGTTTGCCCCCAATATTTACAGTCTTAACTAAAACTGAAGATAATCTTTAAAATAACAGGTTTTATAATTAAGGTTTTAATGATTTACTAACAGTATTCCTACCTTTATATAATGATCTTTTGAGCCAGTAATAACCAACTTGTTATCCTCTCTCACACAATCAAGAGCTAGACACATCACTGCAGCCTGATGGCCTCCAGTAAGTTTGCCTATGCTGTGAAACCTAAAAGGCAAAACAACTGCTCTAAGAAAAAAAAAGAGAGAGAGAACCTTGGAATTCTTCACTGCTAAACTCAATATCACCCAGTTCTGATATACAAACAATTTAAATAATCAAGCAATATAGTAATCCAAACCTGAAATGAGAGGAAATCCTCAATAGCCATAGCACTTGAAATTCAAAAGCAGGATTAGAGTAAATTAATCTACGAGACCCTTTTTTCCTGTTTATTAGCTATATTTTTGTGCACTAGCAATAGCAAGTGTGGGGTGCGTGTATACCAAATTCCATTTTATTACTCATCAGGATCTCAAATTGAAATTCTTTTAGGCAGAATTAGAGTAAATTAATCTGAGACCTTCGGCATGGTCAAATATGTCAATCAAAAGGGTTTGATCACCTGAGTCAAAAATTCTAATCATATCTCAAATCGGTCGAGAGATGACAGAACTATTAGGTAAAAGTTTGTACTTGAAAAATTCAGAGTCGTTCTATGAGCCGCTATGCTGCAGCTAACCAGGCTATAAGAAATTTAATGTATGTAACTAAACTATTCAACTGACTAACATCTAACTAACTGACTAACTTGTGTTTTCCACACACTAACTTGAAAATGTCAGTAACATTATTTTGGTTTTATTTTCTACAATCAAAGTTTTATTAAAATGATCTGTAGCATATTTACTTAAAAATCAGAGCAGTTCAGTTTGACTTTTAATACTTGTTTGTTACAACAAAGTAGAAACAGTTGCTAAGTATAACGATAATTAAACAAATAAAACACTAAACAGTATTCATGGGGAGAAACTGTAGTAAGAAAACACAACGTAAAAAAAAAGTAAAATCAGTAATACGAACATATTAAAAAATGTATAATCTAAAAGAAGACTGCATGTTGTTCAGTGTTGGAGAGTGCTGTTTGATGTGGAGGGTTTCTTTGATCAATAATTCCAGGTCAGTATTAGACTTGCAGAGGATAGAGAAATTTAATAGTATAGGTTGATGTCCTGTTTCTTCACTATGTTGGCGTATAGAGGAAACACAGGGGTTATTCAATTTTTTTTGTGTTTTAATGGAAATTCCCATATGTTACCATATGTTCATATGGTACGAATAGAGCCTGCCGAGCCCCATTTTTTTAAGCTGACTAGGCATTTAGGTTTAAATATGCCCCTGAGTTCTATTAATGTAAATAAAATAACAACCTGTGTCTCCTGAATGTATCTTTTTTGGCTAATATTTTCCTTTACATCTTCATCAGGAGCTATCAATAACCTACAATTTGCTATCCTAGTTAAAAATAAAATGGAACACTGTCATCAGTTAACAGAATGTTAATACACATATCTGAAGGATTCAGATTATATTATCTCTTTCACTGTGGCTGAAATGTATATTTCTCAGCTCCAGTGTAGTTAAACAATACATGTAAATCAACATGTGAACTACTAAAAAAAATAGTTTATGTTACATATATAAAATAGATCTTCGTACTTGTATCTGGATGTTTACAGATATCTATATTATTTCCTCTTATTATATCAATACATACACAAAACAATGTCGAAAAATAATCATTATGAAAGTGAACACACTTTGTTAAATTTCAAACATATTAAAATCTTAAGAATACAGTTCACATATCTACACTAGAAACTATATTTATGTTTGTTCATTGTAGATATATTTTTCTTGGTTAAAATGGATTCTTCATCTTTAAGTTTTAAAAACTAAGATATTTAGGTAAGATCTTGACATCTGATAAGATATCATCTGCTTGTTGTGTTACATATTCTTTTCTAAGTGCTCAGCAATACAGTTAGTATTGATGTTTTGGCTGTCCCATACTATAGTAGCATGTAACAAGATTTTAGAAACACAACTGGTATTAAACCAACATCCTCAAGTACCAGATCCACAAAATACACTACTACAGTAACATATAACAAGACTTTAGAAACACAACTGGTATTAAACCAACATCTTAAAGTCCCAGATACACACAATACACTACTATAGTAGCATGTAACAAAACTTTTAAAACACAACTGGTATTATAAATCAATATATTCAAGTCCCAGATCCACACAATACACTACTATAGTAGGACGTAACAAGACTTTAAAAACACCACTGGTATTATAAACCAATATATTGAAGTCTCAGATCCACACTGGTATTCAAACAACATCTAAAACATGTCAGGTACTACAAAAACTTACATTCTCAGGTCCCAGATCCGAACTATGTTGCCTGCTGCAGAAAACAGAACTGTTCCATACTGATTGAGTAAGATATCATTGATCTGTGTTTCACCTTGAGGCAACTGTATTGTCCTTGATGGAGTGTTAAACAGCATAGGTCCAGTATTTGTCAACCCAGAGGAGCTGAAGAGTTGAAGAAATTAATAACACTCTAAACATTATAGAAATAAGTTAAAAACCACTGTTCTTTAATTACACTGTGAAATTAAAATCTATAGTTATGAAAATTGAAAGAATTGAAAAGTAGGCTTATTGTTCTAAAACTGAAAAACAAAACTACTGAATAATGAATATTTTCACTGACAGTTTTAGAAGTAATAGTAACTTTCTAATTTTTTCAATTATGTTAACATTACTAACCAAAGTGTCTTGACACAGCGCGAGGGATTTTCTCGGACATCCCACACATTAATGTATGCCGTGGAGACACTAAATGCTAAGCGAGTGTATTCACAGTAACGTACTACATTTACGTTGTTTGGATGACCACCAAGGGTTTGAATCTCTCTTCCAGTTTGAAGATCCCACACTTTCACTGTTCGATCTGAGAAAAACAATATTATTGTAAGCCTCTGTTAACTCAAATTTTACTGTATCCTAATAAAAAGCCTTGCCAGTACCATCTTTTAACATATTCACACTGTATCAAAACATTTAGCATTTTGCCAGAAAGTGCTTTTTTAACACTAAAATTACACAGGCAAAACAAAATCAAAAGTGTCCTTAACAAAATTAAACACTGGAGCTTAGCTTTCCATCTCGGAACTTTTTCCTTGAATTACAACATGAGTATTACTCACTCAAACTGGATCTAATTATGTTACCAGTGTGGATTCCATGACGGAAAATAACATTAAAATACTCAGTAGAAAGGATAGACATTTCCAATATTTTTCAGTAAAGTATAAAAGTATAATATGTTTTTATTACAACAATCAACACGGTCTGTTATCATTTAAACTAGAACAATCACAAATTAATTTCAAAATTTCAAATGTTTACTAAAGAACATTGACTTGTTTGAAAGATTTTTCATTATGTACTTTCCCTTACCTTTTGAACTACTAAATAACACATCGTTAGTGGCTACCACAGACAGTACAGCTTTGCTGTGACCTTCAGCCACATGGGTACAGACCAGTGGGGCATTTCTTCCCTGCACAGGTTTGCCAGTGTAAGGGTTAATATTTCCTCTGTAATGTAGAAAATGTTTACATAAAACTTGTAAATTTGAATCATCTCTTCCTATATAAACTGTAGTGATTCAAACCCACACTGACTGTCAATATTTTAAAGTCGTTACTCCCATATTAACGAAGATGAAGTGATGTTCATGTTAAAACTATTAAATAAAACAACATTTATTTGCATGCAGTTTAAAAACATTTTTTAAACGTCTAATAAATGTAGTTTTTTTGTTTTGACTAACAGTAATAATACACAAGACCAATCATCAACAAATGATGTTCACTCGTTTGGATATTTTCCTTACATTCTAGATTCAATACACCCAAACAACAATAAATACTTTTACAGTTTATTCATGTAAATGTTACACAAAGTTAGATTTTTTTTCTTGTTATAACAATAAAAATGGGGGCAATTGTCAGTTTAATGATATATCCATACAAATGGTGCAACATGGACCCTTTTGTTGTAGAACCTCAAAAACATTGTAACAGGATTAATTTATCAGCTTTGATTTATTGTTTTACAAACTTTTTAATAAGACACTGAGCTACAATTTATTTATATTCATTTTATTTTGTTACTGATTTAACTCATATAATCACAACAGTTTATGTACATTAAATTAAATATTGATAATAAACCTTCTTTTTAGCACAGAAGGTTAAAATGATGATTAAAAATTAAGTCATCTAACACACAGAGAAAATACAAAGAATTAGTTGTTCAAGGAATACAAAATATAAAACTTTCAATTTAGATCAAAATTTCTTCCACTAAACTTGTGAAACTGATTTAAAAACATGTTTTTTACCAGCTATAAAGATTCAACCTCAATGTTCAAAACAAGCTTTGGAGAATTTAGAACACTTAATATGAATGCTTATACTTTACAGTTTTGAACAACTGTACATCGAGTGAGGATATCAGAGGTATTTTCACTATGAAACAAAGACTACTTTAATAACTATGAAAAATTATAAAACCAATTGGCAAATATATAAACAATTCAGATGACACAGAATAATGCAAACTAAGTTACCTAACTTCAAGTCTACATTACATAAACATGAAAAAAAGTGATCAATAAAACAATATATGTATATGATAAGAGAAACATGATGTAGAGATTAGATAATGCACGTGAACAGGCAAGATGTACAGATTAGACTGTGAAGGTAAACAAACCAGACGTACAAATCAGACACTTCAGTTGATGAGGAAAGACAGAGATCATACAGTGCAGGTAAACAAATAAGATGTACAGATCAGACAGTGCAGGTAAACAAACAAGACGTACAGATCAGAAAGTGCAGGTTAACAAACAAGACGTACAGATCAGAAACTGCAGGTTAACAAACAAGACGTACAGATCAGAAACTGCAGGTTAACAAACAAGATGTACAGATCAGAAAGTGCAGGTTAACAAACAAGATGTACAGATTAGAAAGTGCAGGTAAAGAAACAATAAGTACAGATCAGACAGTGCAGGTAAAGAAACAAGTCATACAGATTAGAAGGTGGATGTGAAGATGCAAGACATACAAATTAGATCAGACGTATGTGGAAGAAAGTGTAACCAGTACAGATAATTATATAGTAGAACTAACAGAAAATATTGGCTTCAGGTTTTTTTGTTTTCTTTTAGTTTCTACAAAATATAATGAATGTTTAGCTAAAAGTATACAAGTACAAGTCCCATTTTATAAGTAGAAATACAAACATAAAGTTTTGTTTCAGCACTGAAATGTTTCTGTGGTGGATTACACAAAAGTTTGAGGTGTTTAACTTGTATATTTATAATTTTCAAAAACTAATGTCTTTGGTAGTCTTTCCCATATCCTTCTGAGGTAACTCGTAGTTCCATTCTCTCTCTTTTTATAAACAATATTTTATGAAGCATACTTGTGAGAAATTGTTATAATTATTATAAAAATAATCATCAAACATTTATTAATGTACACAAGAGTTTTAGTATTTGGGTATGTAAATATACACTTGGGTATGAAACAATGAAAACAGGATTAAGCATGTTCATCAAACTTTACAAACATTGTTTATTTTAATGTTAAGCTTCAAATTCAATAGAACCTAGCTCCAAGTGTTAATAGGCTAGTAAAAGAGCCACCAAGCTACTTGTTACTTTTTCTTTTAGACTATTAGTCAAAGGCTAAAACACACACACACACACACACAAACTATGCAAAATTAATTATGTATGTGTATATACTTGAAATTATTTACAATGCTTGTGAATTCTCCTCGCTCACACTATTACAGTAATTTATTGCCATGCTTTGACTTGTTCTATGACCCTTTTTTTTTTCTGAAATAAAACAACTAGTGAAAACAAAATCTACACATCAACAGTGAAGTTGTTACTCCTGTCAAACCACAGTTTTCTGTGAAATAAAACAACTGGTGACAAAAATCTACATCTGAACAGCGAAGTTGTTGTTACTCTGAAATTAAACAACTAGTGAAAACAAAATCTACACATCAACAGTGAAGTTGTTAGTCCTGTCAAACCACAGTTTTCTGTGAAATAAAACAACTGGTGACAAAAATCTACATCTGAACAGCGAAGTTGTTATTACTCTGAAATTAAACAACTAGTGAAAACAAAATCTACACCTCAACAGTGAACTTGTTACTCCTGTCAAACCACAGTTTTCTGTGAAA